AGTAGTTTGATGACCACAGGCGAAGACGTCTTTTACGTAATTTGGATCAAAACGTAAGAGAGCCGTAAAAATTACTCAGGCAACTATAGAAACAGCTAATAATTAAAAGACTGGAAAAGGAGGATGAAGGGAATTCAGTGGCACCTAGGTAAAGCTAATTTCCTGTTCCCATCAGACTTTAATGAAACAGAGATACATCATAGTTGGCAATGTAGAAGGGACTCGAGAAGAATCTAAAAACTTAAAACAGATGAAAATGGTTCGTTCCACAGAATAAAACCAGCATGTAGAACGGAGAGAAATGAATGTTTTGTTCCTTTTGATAGAATTTGAAATTTGTAGCCTATATAATAAAAATAAATAAATAAATATCTACCTCTGTATTTGGTCCAACAGGGAAGAGAAGGATGACACACCTGGGCTCTGTGCACTGCTTCCCAGGAAGGACCTTACACTACAGGTGGCTTAATGAGAAGCCACAGACCCAGAGTAGCAGATGCTAGAAATGCAGAGACTTGCTTTTCATGGTTAGCACTAATGAGCACATGCAACTGTGTTGTAAGCAATGTTTTTTTTAATGAGGAGCCTTGAGAGAGTCCTTTGGTTTTAGTATTAAGAACTTCTGCAATTCTCAGGGATCTTACTGTGTTTTTCTCTTTTTGTTGGCTGCCAGAAAGCTTAGGACCAAATCTTTGACCCATCCTAGAAAAACAAAGCATTTGTGGCCCATAGCTCATGTGGTACCCTGACTTTTGTCCCCACATTTTTTCCTTTGCTTTTCCACCATCACTGCTTCATGTGCATATTTATACACTATCTTTAATCCTTTTAGAATTTTCCCCCCTCTTGGAAGAGGGTACTGCTTCAGAAAAATGGATAGAGTAAGGCACAGAAACATTTATGTACCTGAGCTCACAAATCCCATCTCTTACCGATAAGGGAAGAGAGGCCCAAAGGAGTGACCTGCCCAAGGTCACAGCTGCTGATGCAGGCCTGGGAGTAGAACTGGCTATCCAAACAATCTAGTTAAATGGTCAAGCCTCTGATAAACTATAAAAGACTGGGCAGATGACATCTCAAGCAAGGAGCCGGTGCCCTTAATGATGGATAAAATGAGGTAAGGAGGAAGGAAAGAATCTCCTTCCCTCCTGCAATCAACTTCCACCCAGATTACTGTTTTTGGAAAGAGATAAACTAAGTAGTCAGCAGAAACTCTGATCAAGAAAAAGAATTAGATAGCCTGAAAATTAAATGACTCTTACATACTAGTTGTATTACTTTGGCTTCATTCAGTCTCAGTTCCATCTGTAAAACAGGGATACTATCTATTGCAATGAAAATTAAAACATATTAAGCATCCAGCACAACTTATGGCACACAGTAGACACTCAAAAGTGATTTTCCCACAGTCATGCTCATTCATGTACGTGTGTCTATGGCAGCTTTCACACCACAACATCAGAGGTGAGTCACTGTGACAGAAATCAGAGGCGAAGCCTGAAATATCTCCTATCCGGACCTTCACAGAAAAAGTTTTCTGACCCCCTGATCTAAAGTAGAAATTGTCACAGTGTATTGTGGTGTTTATAACACATGTAAAAATAAACCTACAGCACAAAGGCTAAGAAGAAGGAATTAGTAGTGTTGTAAGGCTCTTACCATGTACAGGAAGTAGTATATTATTTGAAGATTGACTGAAACATTTTAATTGTATATTATGATACTATATTTTTATTTAATATTGTAAATATTAAGCTGTCACTAAGTTAAAAAAGAAGCATAATTAAATAAGCCAGGAATAAAGATAGAATTGAGCCACAGAAAAATACCCAATGAATGCAGAAGAAAGAAGGAAAAAGAGAGGAGCAAAGAAAAAATGGAACACACACAAAACAAGTAGCAAGAAGGTAAATTTAAACTCAACCATATCGTAGGTACATTAAGCACAAGTACTCTAAACATATCGATTAAAAGATGCTATCACACTGGCGAAAAGAAGTTAACGCCATGAGAGCTACAATGAAGTCAGAAAAATCACAGTAAAGAATGTAAACATTATACCATCAGATGCTAAGCAAAACAAAGCTGGAGTAGCTACATTACTATCAAATATAAGGAGGCTTCAGAACAAGAGGATAAAGAAGACCACTACAAAATAAAAAGGAGATCTGTTCACCAAAACAGAGGAGCAACAAGGTTTATCTGCCAGTTCTTCTCTTCATTACATTCTTAGAGAGATGTTAATGGCATGGACAATTTGTTCACAAAGTCACACATAGGGTTCTGGAACAAATTTATTAATATCTTCTGACCCAGTTATATTTTCTTAGTTTAATACTATTAGTTTGTATTATCTAAGCAAATAAATAGTACATAAATAGGAAAAAAAAAAGAAAAAAGCACAAAACAAAACATACTCTGAGACAAGCCAAATCTCAAAAAGTAACCAAGCTGGGGCTAAAAGTATTGGAGTTGATACACATGTAGACACTTAAGAATTATTAGAATAAAAAAATCTGGGTATGGTGGTACATCCCTGTAATTCTAGCACTTAAGAGGATAGGAGGATCATGAGTTCCAGGCCAGCCTCAAAAATAAGTAAAAATCAAATAAACACAAATACAACATGAAAAAGAATATGAACATGAGACATACAATTACCATTTCCTCCAAAAAGTTCCCTTTCCTCTGCTTTATGCTCTTCTGTTTAAAAAAAAAAAACAACAAAAAAACCCAAATAACTTACATTTTTTGACCTATTGTAGAGTTTTCCTGAAAAAGCAAATCAACATCTACATCGAAGTTGCATGTGGTGATACACCAAGTCATTCCTCCTACTACCTGTAAGAAACAAGGAAAAGTACTTATTTTCTCTTTCTAGTTCAGGGAAAGGGAAAGAAACAGAAGGCAAATTATAAACAGTTCTTACAGATATCACGAAAATACCAAATTATGTATCATTAGAGATAATGTGTTCTCCTTACCTATGATTCATCTAAAACAGCACTGTTAAAACTTTCTGCAATGATGGTAATGTGTTATGTAACTTCACTGTCTAATACAGAACCTACATGTGGCTACTGAGCACATGAAATGCTGCTAAGTATGACTAAGAAGCTGACTTTTATTTTAAATGGATATATCACACATAGATTCTTTTCATAGTGAAGGGAGCAGACATTAACTCTTAGCTGAAAGATTTCTTAACCCTGTTTCTGTTAAGTTTCAAATCCAGAGGAATTATGTGTTTTACAGACTAAGCACATGGCATCAAGGCTGACACTTTCTGGCTCATAATTTAATTTCCATACATGGTATAATCTTCATCTACCTAATGGAGATGAGAATCACTGCTCTACATTGCTTATAGAATTTCTCGGAGATGCAAATGACACTTAAGCTAAAGACCCAATCTGAAACAAAATCCTTTTCAGATATAACAGTAAATCTCATTTCTGGCCATGTTTTAGACTTGTAAGATGTCCAGTACAATATAAATTCCATGACTCTAGTCCAGACAGAATTAACCCAAAGTTCAATGGGTGAAGCCTGGACACGTGTGTTGTAAAACCACTCAGGTTCACTGTTACGCACAGTCAGGACTGTAACCCCCTCGAATACTCAGCACTGGTTTCCCAAAATTTCCTGATCTGCTGTCACTGATGCTTCCCAAGCACAGTCCACTACAGCATTTACTGCATCATGCCGTTTATTCTACATATACTGGTTTACTTGTCTTTCTTCTCTTCTCTACTAAAGTCGTGCTCTTTGAGTGCGTGCAGGGATATTGTTTTATCTCTGTGCCTTCAACAACTATTATTATGTCCTCTGTACAATAATTGTTCACAGTACTGCTAAATTAAAAGATTCTATCCCATAGTGACTTCTCCCTACTCCAAACTCAGAACATTTGCCATCCATAGAGTATCTGTGAATTGTTTGAGAGCATGTTGACATAGGATAACTAATTATTAACTATGTTATTTGTTTTGTTTTGTTGGAGGGGGTGTTGGCAGTACTGGTGCTTGCTATGCAGGCATTCTATCACTTAAGCCACTCCACCAGCCATTTTTGCACTGCTGGGTTTTGATGTAAAGTGTTGCTTTATGCCAAGGTTGGCCTGGATCGCAGTCTTCCTATCTGTGCTTCCCTGAACAGCTGTGATGACAGGTCAACCACCATGCCTAGCCATTGGCTGAGATGGTGTCTTATGAACTTTTTGCCCAGGTTGGCCTCAAACCTCAATACTCAATACTCCTAATCTCTGCCTTCCAAATAGCTAGGATTATAGGTTTGAGCCACTGTACCCAGCTTAACTACGACTTTTTTTTTTACATAAACTTCATAATGCCCATCTGAACTGTAAATTCCTTGAATGGAAAAATTATTTTTTGCTTGTTTTCATTTCCTAAAAGTTTGTGCATAAGAGGAATTCAATTACATCTACTTACAGTTACTTTCTTTGAATAGGAAATTCGAAAATGTCTATAATGGTTCTACAGTTACTTTCTTTGAATAGGAAATTCGAAAATGTCTATAATGATTCTGCATTAGGGAGAGTGGAAATATAGAAATGGAGGAAGTAAAAATGCAATCTCTTCCTCCTTTCCCTGTCATGGTTAATCATGCCATCGATACGAATAATGTAATGGCTAAAAAGGTTTTCTCTTACCTTGTCAAAAGGTGACAAGCCTTTAATTCTTGCTCTAAAATACCCAGCAGCAACCAAGAGTTCCAGAATTTCAGTCAACTTGACATTTTGTTCCTCATCTTCTCTTGTTTCTACCTAAAACAAGAGATACAAGTGTGGATGGTAAACAATATCTTGAAGAAAGGGACATCAAGTATATTCCCCTGATGCCACAATCTCTTTGCCAAGGGGCAGGTGACACTGGCTGAATCATTGCACCAGATTCTCTGTGTAAATTCAATAAGCATCATTCAGTGTTCCCAGGATCCCAAAGAATTGGGTCCCCAGCACTCAATGAGCTGTTTATTGCCAAAGGTAGAGTGAGAAGACTATTTATCACATGCTAAAGGAGTCCAGGGAAAAGGAAGAATAAAGCACATTATCTTCTTCCTTAAAACATGGCTTTTTTACTTTTTTTAAGATGGTCTTGTTGCCCCAGCTGGCCTCAAACTCAGGATCCTCCTGCCTCAGCCACCCAAGTAGCATCCACTACCACTGCTGGCTTTAACACACAGTTCTCTTGACAGGATTCTCAACTAAAATCATAAGCACCTTACAGACAGAAAAAGGTATGTTTTTTTAAACTTTATACTCACCTGACAGGAGAAATAAGAACAAAGGAGGGAATTCAAATACGTATCCCTCCTTTCACTTTCCTTTTTGATCTTTAAAGCAAATACAAGGAAGGCTTTGAACCCAGATATGCCACATAATAGGATTGCCTTAAAGTAATGAATTCATCTAATACATGTAAACTGGAATTTGATTTAATTTTTTTCATTTATATACTTCTCTCATCCCAGGTATTTATCTACTACTTAAATCTGTATAAATATTCTAGTACTTTTGTGTCTAGTAGTTTTACTTTCATGAACTACCTTTCCGTTCTTCCATTATTACAGAAAATCAAAAAACACCTTTCTACATAAAATAACACCAAGCATCCTGGTACAAACTCTCACACTCACCTCTGACTACTATTTCATGCAACAATGTCTGTGAATCCTTTCTTTGCTATGCATATTACATTTGTCCATGCCTTTTATTCATATTTCATGCCATAACTATTACAACTGCCTCTCAATCTTTCTGCGTTGTGAGTTTGTCTCGTTCAATCTTTCCTAAAGCTTTCACATCATCCTACCTTAGCTCATCCCCAACCCCCTAACACAATGCATCATAGACTGTCTATAAAATAAACTCTAATTTCTTAGTTTGACATTCAGAGCTTTGGCTGCAGCCTATCTTTTTAGTTTCCTCCTTTATCTCCCCCAAAATAATCTGAACATGGCTGTGGCCTATGTAGAAAAGCAATGTTCATTCCCATTTCTGCACTGGTTATACCATCCCCTTTCTCTTGATATTCTCTAACCATTCAGAAATCACCTTTTAACTTTTAGCTCCTACTGGACACCTCTCTTTACAAATTTAGATGAAAACGGCCATCTCTACATTTCTATTTTATGTATAGTTCATGCCATTTTTACAATTATCAGTGTCTTTTGAGTAGCAGGTCTGGTGTCATGTATATACCTGTCTTTCCCATTGAACTGTTAGCTGGTTCAAAAGAAGATCTGTATATATTATACATGTGTGTTTACTCTTCTGTACGAAAACAACATTTTGCTCAAAGGACAGATTTGCTAAATACAGAATGACATGCCCAATCATTACATGAAGTGCATGACCTAAACCACTCATGCAGTAATGTTTCCATAATCATGACACTGATAATAGAAAGTCAATTTTATCTTGAAGTGCAAACTGTCAATAAAGGGAGAATACATATTAACATAAAGTTGAACATTCACTATTAAAGTGACTGACAATCCCTTGAGATGGGATAGGGTGGTGTGAGGGAAATGATAGCCATGGCCACTGTTCATTTTACTCATTCTCTCCACTCTCAAATGACCCGGTCTATCAAAGACTCTCAAAAAGATTAACTTTCACTAGTTCCTAGTTGACATACAAAAATAAAGACAATAATATTAATTGTTCACGTCTTCTCTTCTGCAAAAGATTTGAGATAGATGAGGAAACAGATGTTTCTCAAGTCTAGACAGTCAAGGAAAAGAAGATAAAGAACAGTTATGGTTTATGATGACAGAGTAGAAAAAAAAGATGACATATTTTCTTAAAACTCCTGGATATAAAATAGGAACTCTTCATTTCTTCAGTCACCATTTATCAGGACCACACTTCCAAGAAGAGAACAATACATCACAGGAGGATCATCATCCCAGCTCAACTCATACCTAAAGAACACCCACAGGCCACCTATTGCAGATGGACAACCTATACTTCTCATCCACTCATTTCCAGAAAGGAGAATTTAGTTTTGCAATGTAACAAGTAAGATATCTTTGGCACATGACACCGAATAGGGATGTTTGACTGCAAATTCACTTTGTAGATTAACATTGAAACAAAACAGAAAAGGACCACAAAAGCCACCCAGCTGGTTAATATATCCAGTTGTTAAAACTCTGATAAAGATGGCTGTGAGCTCTTAAATCAGGCCCAATAAATTTTCAATTACCTTGCACTTAGTTCATGTAAACTGGGAGAGAGGGCCAACTTTAGCTTACTTTCTTTCACATGCATACAGAAAGGGGTTTCAAAAATTGAATTTAATGAATTAACTGGACTAGTGACAGCTTGATGACAACTGGTCTTTGACAGCAATTTGATTATACTCAGCCTGACCTCCTCCTAATAGCCACGAACTGTCTTAACTTTTTGGAAAACACAGGCAAATCAGACCCTGCCTCCTAGCAGTCAGTGATGGGTTAAAAAAATACACCCACAAGTGCAAGTTGCCTATTATTTTAGAAAGACCTTCGTTGGGCTGGATGATTTAAGGTAGAACCTGGGAGAGTAGACCGGAGTCTACAGCAAAAGGCCAAGTAAAAACTTGAGAGACTACAATGAAAAACTGGCAAAGAAAACTTTAAATATCACAGTACAGATTCTTCTCTACAAAACCCTAGGTGAAATCAAAGGAAGATTTTCACCTAATGCAGAATTTCTGACAGTAAGCTTGCTAGGTGTTCTTAAAACAACAAGAAAATGGGCCTGCATTCTGGGAGCACATAATAATGACCATGCCAGTCTGTCCCCAGCTGAGCACTGAACACAGCGATTCTGCAATTAGTAGAATGAAGGAACTGAGGCATGCAGAGAATCAAGCCTGGCTATGGTAAGAGAACCACTCACCATGACAAGCAACCATGGTTGCTTCACAATCTTAGAAAGCAGGTAGAGGTGCAGCACGCGTTTCCCATTTCCCTCCAGAATCTTAAACTAGCTTTTTGAGTAAGCCAACTGAAAGGGAAGACAAATGCAAACCACCTAGCTAATGACAGATACTTGCAGCCCAAAGAAAATGAATGCACTTTCTCTTTATTCCGGGCCAACGTAGAAATCCAGGAACCACTTAAGAACCACTGAATGAGTACTTAATGACAAACACCTCTGGAAAGGCATCCACTATCTCCTGGAGAAGCAGCAACATTCCAGTCTACACAGCACCAACAGAGAGCGCGTCCCCACTCAGACACCACTCCAGTGCGTTCAAGGCTCCCGAAGTTCCTCCCGCCGCCCCGGCCTTGGTGGAATAAATGCAAGAACAGCAGCACTGCCTCCCACAGAACGGCGAGTGCGGCTGGCAGCCGGGACCGGCGGGCAAGCAGGGGGGTTGGTGGGGGGAGACAGTCACCCAAGGTCACCGCCCTCTGCACTCCCCGAGCCCGGACACGTCTCGTGACTCCTGCGTGCAGCAGCTTCGGCCCTTGGAGCACAACTGCAGCGCCAGGGATCGGGGGCAATGCACTGGACAGCGGGACAGGTAGGAGCCCGGGGCCGGTGGTGCGGGGTCGGGGGGGGGGACTGCTGCATCAGAGCAGCCCCCTCCGCCACAAGATACCCCCGGGAACCGCTCGAGGTTGCCCCCGCCCTGCCGTTGCCCCTGGCCACGCAGGGAGATCCGCTGTCTCTCCTCGGTGGTCAGGGCCGGGACATTCTCCGGGTGGACACACCTGAGGAAGGGGGTGGGGCGGCCCCAAAGCCCCGAAGGCCTCTCTGCGCCCTCGCCCCCCGGGCTCGGCCCTCTCCTCAGGAGCCGGGCGTGTCAGGAAGCGAGATCCTTACCTCCGGGAGACTCGGGCCCTCTGACCCCTTAGGCAAACCCATGATTCGGCTGGGTTGACGTTGGGAGGCAGCGAAGCCCGCCGAGCGCCTGGGGGAAGCTGTCCCTGCCGCCCAGTTGCTACCCTGGTGGAGTGCAAAGCGGAAACTTCCTCTACACCGCCGCCACCGGCACGGGCGCCGCAGCCCCTTGGAGCATGCGCGCTGGGGAAGGAACGCGGCGCCACTGCGCCTGCGCAAGGGCTTCCGGCCAGACTGGGCGGGGCCAGGACAGGGTTCTGCCCCGCCCGGGCCGAGGCTGCGCAGGGGGTTCTGGTTTTCCTCCGAGGCACTGCGTAGAAGGTGGTTTTCCTGCATGGTTAGGGCATCTTACATTGCGGCTCCCTTCCTTGCCTTGTCGGGTCATCGGATCCCCCAAAAGAGTCCAGTTTTCTACTCAAGCCGGACTTCGGAATCTTTCTAAGCACCCGGGTCGGTCCGAGCGCGGATGAGCTTGGGGATTATCCAGGTCCAGTTCCAGCTCTGTTTAATTCTCACTTCTCCGGGTGTGGACCACGGGCGGAACCCCCTAGGAAAGCGTGCTTTTTGGCCAGTGGCTCCGCAGAATCGTCTTGTTCCCAGGGAACCTCTCTTGGGACAATGCCTCCACCCACCCCATTCAGGTTTCTGGGTCTTCCTGGAGGAAGTACGTCCGTGAGAACCCGGACTCCTGTGCTTTTGTCATTTTAGCTGCCGTATCAGTTATAGAATGTACCCCTTGTCTGTCCCAGAGAATGGCAGCTGTATAAAAGGGTTTTCTCTCGCGCCAGGGTCTTTCCCTATGTTTTTAGAGATGAAGACAAAATTGACTTAAGTGAATCTTTTGCTGTGGAAGAGATCCTACTGAGGGGAAAGGTGAAACTATGAGCACTTTGAATCAAAGAGGTTTTATATTTAGTTTTTTCCTTCTTTGCATCCCTAACATCTTAAAAAGGGGCTGCTAAATAAATGTTTGTCCTTGAAGGACTTCTTTACAGTTTTCTTTTTTCTCCTCCTCTGTTTTTTCCTGGCAAAACGGAGGCTTGGCACAAGTGGATGGAAGGGCCCTTTTGTTCTTGAATGTAACTAGTAAATATGACACAAAGCTATGTGCCATCCCCTGTCACCAGTCCTCAATAATTTGAGAAATCTGAATGTGCAAGTTAAGTTGTTAAAATAGGAGCCCTCTCCTGGGTTGTATGAAATCTCACTCTCACCCATTGTGAAGCCAATAAAACTCAATTCCTAAACTGTTCACGCTCATATCTTCCCAAATATCTTATTTTTGTAGACTTAAAACTGTCTATCATTGAAATGGAATAGGTTGAGAAAGAATGGAGAATGATAATTATTTGTGGCCATTATTTGGTGATCAGATAGGTACTGATGCCTTGGGTCAGATAGTAAATTTCACAGAGCAGGCAAGCCTAAATAGCTGTATATAAAGCAGTCCAGGGCAAAGAGCCTAGGAATTAACAGAACTCAGGGAGGCTGTATCTCAGGTCCCCTGTTTTAAATAACCATGAACAGCTAACTTTCCCAGTAAGAAACGGTCTCATTTTATTTTATCTGTTGATGGTATCAGAGTAGGGTTAATAGCATGCTATTTTTTTTAAACAGATATTATGCCGTTTCTTGACATGGCAGCAGTCAAGACAGTTTGAACAACACATATTTAAGAGAGGCACCCTTAAACAGCCTTGAAAGAAGAACATAAAAAACATGACAGAGAATTATGAAGAATCTTAGATAAATACTGTATTCTCACTCTCCTCTGGTGCCAGGTACTCCTTAGTGGACTATTTACAGATCAGAAATCCATCAATTTTGTCCTTCCTCTACACATTCAGTACAGAACTATGTGATGTTTTTCTAATTGCGAGATTCTCTGGAGCCTCACAAATACTTCCCACTTCCAGAATAAAAGAGCACATGGTAAAGAAGTCCCTATTAGGATCACCTCTATCCTGGATGAAGATTTCTATAAAACCTCAATCATTCTGTTTCCAGGCTTCTGACAATCCTACTACACTGGGCTCTTGCTATGATCAAGGGGAATCATGAAGCACTACAGCAGGAAGGAACCTTAGAAGGCATCCAGTTAAACAACAGGCATCCAGAAAGTAGAATGACACAAGTTACACAGCATGTGAATGGCAATATTGGGACCAGAGGTCAGATTTCTGATTCACAATGTACTGCTAGTCATCTATCCATTCATTAACATTACCGAGTCTCTTCTATGTCAGTGGCTCTCAAACTTGGCTTCATGTTGAAGTCACCTGGTTTCATCCTCAGAGAATGTCTGATTTAATTGACTGGAGGAGAGACATGAACATTGTACATTTTTAACCCTTAGAATATACTGTTTGGGGTTGGTGGAATAGCTCAAGTGCTAGAGTGCCTACAAGTGCGAGACAGAGTTCAAACCCCAGTACTGCCATAAAAAGAGAATATATTGTTTTTCTACAAGACTTCATTGCAAGTACAATGTTTCTTCAAAGAGCGCAGTGGAACAGAAAATGCAAATCCATAAACCAAGAGTCTTTAGATTAAATGAATTTATTCTGAAAATGCTTAATTGTATGCTGGTCTATTCTCAAGTAGTAAAATTTTACAATATATCCCGTAACATTTCTATAGTAAATAATAAAAGCACAGGTATTGCAAGCTGACTTAAACCCCCTCTATTTTGGACTAGTGGTAAAACAACCCAGTGTATACACAGACACACACACACACACACACACACACACACACACACGTGCGCGTGCACACGCGAATGAGTTCCAGAACATTTTTTTCAAACAAATGATAGTTTTATTAATGGATTCCAATAATTTATAACATTCTCTATCTCCTAGAAAATATGATACTCAACAATTTCTTGGTAAAGTGATTGAATAAGTAAGTATCTCCTATGCTAGCAGGGCAAGTGGATTTTTAAGCTTTCTTGGGTGATTCCAATGAACAGCCAATCTGTCAAGAATTTGTGCCAGAGCTGTTCTTGGTGCTGGAGCTATTACAGTCAACAAACTAGCTAAGATAATTACAGAAAGAAATTAGACATGTAAATTAATAAGATACTGTCAAGTAGTAACAAATGCTATTAGTGTGGGGGAAACCCAGTGTGATGGGTTAAGGAATAGCTGGAGTCAGAGTCTCTTAGAGGAAGGGGCCAGGATGGGGCTCTCCAGTGCTATTTGAGAGGAGACCTAAAACCTAAGAGGGCACATGAGGAGACCCCAGGGAAAAGCATTCCTAGCAGAAGAGGCATCTGAGGTGTTCTGCACAGCTTCCCTTTGCCCTTGCTTTCAGCCCCTCATGTTTGCTGCTTTATAAGGCTGACTAATAAGGACTTCATCAGCAGGGCCCAGGGTGTGAGGATGCTGGGTGTGGGTCCAGGGGCAAGGGTGGCTGAAGTGTGAGTCCTGGGGATTCAGGCTCTATTTGAGTTGTGGGACCTGGAGCATCAGATTCTAATAGTAATTTGGCAAATATACAAGAACTTAAAAAATATCCTTGGATACAATAGTTCTACTTTCATACCGCAATGCTACTATAAGAGAAAAATCTGAAAGCCATATAACTAGTCCATAATAAGGGCTGGTTAAATATATTATCGTATATTCATTTGGTGCAACATCACGTTGCCATTTGAAATGTGTGCTTCAGCAAGCCATGAAAGAAAAGAGTGAGAACTGAGAATATATAAATATTAACTGCATCTGTCTGTCAAGTTAATCATTAAAACATTTTAAAAGCAAACTGGGAAAAATGTTCATTGCCTGTGACAAGAAGTCTTACAAATGAGAAAGGAAAATATAATAGAAAAATGAGCACAAGGCTTGAATAGAGAATTCCTGAAGGAAATTATCTCTAAAAGTATGAAAAAGATCTCAGCCTCATTTTTAAAAGTTAAAATGAGGTATTTTCTTCATGGAAGAAATAATTGATGTTTTAAGGACATTAAACTAATGTCAATAGCACTCCCTAGTCATTAAGTTTTCACAATAGTTCTGGAAGGCAATTTGGCAAAATTCATTGTTCACCAATGAACATACCAATGTATACTAGGCACTGAGAAGAATTTTTAATGTGGCGAAGGAAGCGACTCAGTACCTAAGGGACATTTGGGGTTTTCAGAGTGACAGTCTATTGGTGCTGCTATGACAAAATGCCATAAACCAGGTGGCTTATAAATTATAGGAGTTTAATGCTCATAGTTCTAGAGGCTGGGAAGTCCAAGATCATGACACTGGCAGATTTAGTGTCTGGTAAGAGCCTACTCCACATAGATGGTCATCTTCTCACTATAACTCACAGGATAAAAATGGTGAGGGAACTCTCTGGGGCCTCTTTCGTAAGGCCGCTAAGGCCGCTAATCCCATTCATGATGGCAGAGCCTGGATCACCTTCCAAAGGTCCCACCTCCTTAAACCATCACTTTGGAAACTAGGATTTCAGCTTATGAATTTCAGGAGGACTCACATCACAGCAGAAGAAATACCAACATTTAGTTCCCAGCTGTCACAGATGTCAGACTGCCTGCAATGGTGTTGAGTCATAAGAATTTCCTTGACAAGAGGAATGTGGACAGATATGAGATGGTGCCAGTTCTGGGAGAAATATTAAGAACCACTCTGTATTCCCTCACTTCTACATTCATGCCATCGACGACAAGAACATACCCAGGCAGCCACTGCATCTTTGAATGAGCAACAGACAGAAGAGAAGGAAGAAACCTGAGAACTGAGCTCAGTGTGAGTGGAATATCAGTGTTTGCTGTAAGTGCTGAGATTTGCAGGTTGTTATCATAACATTACCTAAGAAACTGCACAAGGAAGAATTGTCTCTCCAAATGCCATAAGCACCTCAAACTGTCCCTGATAAACACTGGATACAGAAAAGGAACAAAATGAAGCTGTGGGATGAACAATCAACAAAATATCACATCAAAAATGATATAATTGCACACTGAAATTTAAGTGCCGTTATGATAAATTGATGGATGGGATGGAAAAGAGAAATAGGAGGAACGATTTTGAGTGGGTAGTCCATGTAAGTTTCTCCAGGGACCTAACATTTAAGATCTAAGGACTAATGAGAGTTAGGCACAGTGCAAGATGCACTTTCTAACTAGGATATGTGGGTGAACAGAGGAGGAGGAGCTGGTGAAGAGGAGGCAAGAGGGAACCAGCCCATGTGGGACCTGGGGGAGCACAGGAAGGGGTTTGGATCTACCTAAGCACAAAGATAATCATCAAAGGACTGATTTTGATTTGTTTGTTTAAATAAAAATTTATTTTATAAACATACAAGTCATATTATTAGTGTGATTCAACTTTTGGTCAATAGAAATGGAATTTCAGTTTCAAATATCCATAGTGTAAAGATTGCTCACATAAAGTTATTCCTACTCTCATTCCTGATATGGGGTCTGGGTTAGAAGCAACAACTGAAGAACTACCCTGCCTCTGTGTAGAAGTTGAAGGAAACAACTAACTCAGTTGAAATTTACTTCTCAATAGACTACAACATTATCTTTGGAAGTACAGGCTTATCAAGCTTCCATGTGAAACTAAATGAGAAAGAATTCAAAATGACCTTAGAAGAGAGACATAAGAAAATTCTGTTTTCTGGATTAATTTAAGAAACTTCTTCAATAAACATAAAATATATTATACTTCTATCTCAAAATCAAATACAATTTACACATGTATTTGTGTGTGTGTATAAAACCAGTGTGTGTTTTCCTCTTCCCTATTCACAAAGACTGCAACACTCCTGACACCAGATGTGTTTGTGGAGGGGGAGGATTTCTGCAACAGACACCTGCTGGGCATCCTATTATGGAATTCAGTTTTAACACTGCCTACCTGGAGACAGTCAGATCCCAGAGGTTGAAGACTCAGTGCCATAAGTCTACCCCACACTCCATTTCAGAGGCCAGTCACAAGCACAGGTTATGCCCTGTGCTTCTGACCAATCATTTGTAACTCAGAACTCCCATAATGCCCTCCTTGACTTTGATCAATTTGCCAGAGTGGTTCACAGAACTCAGGGAAACCCTTACATTTATTGGTTTATTATAAAGGATATTACAAAGGATACCAATGAATACCAGCTGAAGAGATGAACAGGGAGAGGTGTCAGGGAAGGGGCACAGAGCGCCATGCCTTTTCTGGGCATACAGCCATCCAGGAACCTCTATGTGTTCAGCTATCTGAAAGCCATTTTCATTTGGGTTTTATTGAGGCTTCATTTATACTGGCATGATTCATTACATTATTGATTACTGGCAATAAACTCAACCATTAGCTCCTGTGCCCTCCTCAGACATTGGCTGGAGCTAAAAGTCCCACCCCTCTAGTCAAGCCTTAGTCTGTGTGGTGACCAGACTGTCCTGAAGCTTCCTAAGGGTTGCTAGACCCCAGTCATCTCATTAACATACAAAAGACACTGTTACCACTCCAGAAATT